CGTGAGGCCGGCTCCACGTCTTTACTGTGGTCCACGTGAGAGCAGGGGGGCTCCGTGGTGGCGGACCCTGTGGACCCCTCCCCTCCGCGGTGGGGGGCCACCGGCGGGGACCCGGTCACAGCTTTGTTGAGCGTGGCTAGGAGAATCTTGAGAAGACGCTGAGTGTCAGTGTTCACGCTGCTGTTGCCCCGTGACCTCAGGTCAGTGTCGTAGATGCCCATGCTTTCAATCACTGTGGTCAGATTGTCGCCCTGCCCCCCTTTGCCCCCCCCCTCACCGGCCAAGGTGCCTGAAAAACAAAAGAGAAATTAATAAATTAGTGAACCAGGAAAACCCACTCCCCCCCAGGACGGACTGAAACCCACTCCCCCAGGACGGACTCTAAAGCTAAGGTTTTGCTGAAGCTTTGTTAAACTATTCCCCGCTGTAGCACTAGGGGGCAGTAATGTCCTGTTTTTCTGGTCACCTTGACTGGACTCCCCGTTGCTGAGCGGGTCTGTGCGTTGGTGCTTGTTGGTGCCCCCCCCCTCGGCTCCTTCAGCATTCCTCTTCAGAGCGCTGCCGTCCCACGCCCCCCCCTCCCCCCCCCTGTCCTGACCGGGGTCCTTGATCAACGTCTTCTTGTGGAGTTGGATCAGCTTCAGCAGCTGCTTCATCTTGTTCTTGTCGTACTGGTCCTTGGAGACCTGTGGCCTATCAGAGACCAGCTGACCGTCCACATGGTCTCTGTGCTGTCGCTGAGCTCCGTTTGAATTGGCCAATCCAGGCCTCCGCCTGCTGCTGCTGCCGCCGCTGCTGCTGCTGCCATCAGCCGCCGCCCCCCCCGCTGCTGCGCCGGCGCCGGGTGGGCGCTTCTTCCCCCCGCCCCAGCCACTCTGAAGACCGCTCCGCTCTGTCCGAGCCCCGGTCCGAGCCCCCCCAGTCTGAAACTGGGCTGTAGTCCACGGTGGCGGGGACCTGCGTGGCGGCGGGGGCGGGGCTTCGTGTCCTCTCCATGACGTCCTTTACTCTGGTGAGAGGTAACATGTAGTTGGCAGGATTGTGGACGTAGGAGCGGAGGACAGCCTCCATGTTGAACTTGGGCCTGGGCACCGGGGGGGGGGCGGCCCGATCATCCACGTGAGGTTTGTAGTCAGGCAGGACGAACGGTCGGGCCGTTCCCGAGTCCATGCGGCTCAGGTAGTCGTTGGCCTGGCGCTCCACCCCGGAGCTCAGGTCCTTCCCTGGGTTGGAGCGCAGCTTCATCAGGGCGTAGTGCAGCGCGGGGAGGAAGGGTTCCACGGAGGACAGGACGGCAGGTTGGGGCTCGGGGTCCGAACGTCTGGACGCTGAAATGAAGGAACAGCGTTACTGAGGTTGTCGCTGACGTCAAGACTGACAAACCACCGTTCACCAGAAGGAGGCGCTGGACGCACCACCCAATCAGACAGACGGTAACACTCACAACACTTCACCACCGTTCTGGATCCTTGAAAGATGAACAGGGCCTGCAGGTTCTTCTCCCTGGGCCCGGCCCGCTCTGACAACAAAGAAGAACAGCGTTCAAGTCTGGTTTGACTTCAGTTCAACGCTGTGATGTGTTCAGGGGCACAAGACGTGTCGGAAAAAACATGTCACCTTTAGAGTCGCTCATCTGAGCCGAGGACAGCAGGAAGAGAAACCCTCTGTCAAACAGTGCCTTCACCAGTACCTGCACAGAGTAACAGACACCCAGTCAGTCAGTCAGCAGTCAGTCGGTCAGCAGTCGGTCAACATTCAGTTAAGTCAGTCAACAGTCAATCAGCAGTCGGTCAGCAGTCAGTCAACAGTCGGTCAACAGGTCTGGTCCAGGAACTGTTGACTGATCTTGGTCTAAGGACTAACCCACTCCCGGGATTCGAACCCACAGTGGACTCACCATCTGGTCTCTCTCCAGCCTGTGGAGCAGTGCTGCCAGACTTCCACTGGAGGCTTTTCCTTTTCCATCCACCACCTCCAACAGGCTGCAGGACATTCCACACTTCATCACTACACACGGACAACAGGGCATTAGGACCAGGACTAGAACAACTAGAACCCGGGTCAGGGTTCAGGATGGACCGTAGGTGAGGTCTCAGTGTCGCCATGGCAACACACACACACACACACAGCTGAGTGTGAAGGTTAATAAATCAATAAGAACGCGTGGGCCCAGGTCTTCATGGTAGATGATGGTGGTTTTTAGGGTTGTCAAAGGTGGGGGTCAGGTCCAGCTGTGAGTACACAACAAACCCTGCCAAGGGCCCGCGACCCAGATGTTTCTTCTTTTAAAAATATGAGAATGATAAATAAAAATAACCTGTGTCAAAAGTTTCATGTTGATGACAATGATCAACAGAGTGAATGTTATACTAATGTTATATAATATGTAATACATTATGTTATAATGTTATACTAAAAACACGACAATACTACAATACTGTCCAGGATTATATACACGTGAATAAAAAAAAATTCTTTAAATTAAAATAATAATAATTTCCATTTAAAAACATCTTCATGTAAACTGAGCACGTGTGTGTGTGTGTGTGTGTGTGTGTGGCTGACCTTCCTGTGACATCCTGTAGGTGTCCCTGGTGAACAGAGCAGGGGGCAGTTTCCTCTTCACCTGCTCCAGCGTCATACCACAGCTCACCTCTAGTCTGTCCGGCCTGCAGCAGCACAACAGCAGCACTGGTCAGAAACACTGGTGAAATTCCAACCAATCCTGCGCCGCGTGTCTTCACTCACAGTTTGAAAGGAAGAAAGGGCCGCGACGAGGACCGAAGACTGATGGGGAATAACTCCTGACCTTTGTTGACCAGCGGACCGCTCCACACAGTGTAGCGCTTCCCTGCAGCGGGGACAAACAGTGACTTCAGCTGCTTCACCGTCCTCTAGGTGGCAGCAGCAGCAGACAAACATGGCTTTTCAGAGGAAAGGTTGAAATAAAAAGTCTTACTTCGACTTCCTTCAGATGAAAGTGTGTTGAACCTGAGCACAGAAAAAAAAAAGAATCAACCGTGACTGATGCTGACCATACCAGCAGCCGCCCAGCAGGGGGCCCACGTACCTGTGAGCAGCCATAGGAGCCGCAGCAGCCTCTTTGTCTTGGAACTTGAAGGAAACCACGGCGTAAGGACAAATGTGGCGCGGCCGCGGCCTGATCTCCTCAAAGGCAAACTCATAAAAATATTGCTGTGAAAAGAAAAGGATTGAAAAAACAACAACAACAACAACAACAACAACCACCACCAGGACAGAGTGGCTGTGGAGCCAGTGTTCACCTGTGTCAACTCAAACGCCCTGTAGGACAGCAGCGACGTGACCCTGTTGACGCTTTTGGACAGGTGACAGTCAAACTTCGGCGTGGGTTCGATCCCCTTCTTTGGCACGTTCTCGTGGACGTGCTTGATTCGACCCTGAGAGACAGAAAGATGGGTTTAAAGTCCCCCAGAGAAGAAGGAACACAACCAGGGGGCGCTGTTGTTGTGT